ACGCCGCCTCGGCTCGTCCACCCTCTGCCGAGCCGGTGTCGGTACCGGACTGAGCTCGGTCACTGGGTCGTTTGAGCTGCCCCGTGACTGCCTGATGGAAAACCAGCGGGTTTCATCAGATTCGTAGTTTCTTGTTTTTGCTGGGACCCCCTGTATTTTACCGCTCCCTCCTGCAGTCTTCCCCTATTAACATTTAAAATGATTCTGTAAACTCCGTGTATCAGTAGAAACAATCTCTGCCTCTGCCAGCTACAGTAAATGTAGTTTCCAAATAATAAATCTCCAAATAATTAATCTGTGTATCTCTTTTGATCAGCATTAGTGATGTTTTCAGCACCAGAACAGTGAAGCAAAGAAAGATTCCTTAGTTTGTTATAATTTTATTTATTAGGTGCATCTAACCTGTTCTATTTTTCTCTGAAATGAGATCAAATCAGTGCTTCTATGGGTTGTCTCCAATCTGCACTGGAAAATTTTACTTTATTTAGAGACTTGTTGCAGAAAATATTCAGAATGCGCAGTTTTTTGCTACCACAAGCGATCTCTGGTCCAGCCGCACGTCAGAGCCGTATTTGAGCTCAACTATCCACTACATGAGCAACTGGGAGCTACATAGTATTTAGAACAAGTTAATGTTTGCACAATACGTTTGCAATTGACATGTTTGCACTTTAAATATGTTTACGATTTTAATTTATGTTAAGTTACTTGAAAAACGAGAAAAACTGATTTTTGTAATAGTTTCTCTCAGGGCTTTTATCATCTCTGGTGTGAGTTTAAAATATGTGTGTTAGCACTGTGCTGATTATCCCTAATATGAATAAATGTTCATTTATTCAATGTTTCTCTTCTTTAGTACGCAATTGAAGTTATGCTATTCATGGATAAAAAATCTTGATAAAATCGAAATCGTGATAAAATATTGGAAAAATCGTGACATTCTATTTTTGCCATATCGCCCAGCCCTAGGTGGCCATAGCGTATATTTCTTGTCCAGAAAAAATAAAAATCTCATGTTAAGCTAAATGTATGATGATGTAATTGCATCTACTGAAGGTCACATGGGTCATGCACCGTGGAGTTATTGGTTATCAGGGCAAACATGGCTGGAGTCTAACAGGATTGGCTCATATCAGCGATTATACTGTAATGACTCAGAGTCTCTGGTTGCTCTTTTATCAGTATTATTTCGGGCTACTGTCGCCGTAACCCACGCCTTACAAACTCTTAACTTTTTCAACAGAATCGCTCATAATGAAGTATTTACTAGCATAGCAAACCAGAGCGGAAAAAAACGGAACATTTCCCAGCCGTTGAGCTCGCCTTCAAGTAAAACGTTAACCCTATAGTTTACTATTCAAACCCTTACAATATGTTTGAGGTCATTTGGCCACTCCGGGTCAGTGTTGCCAACTCAGTGACTTTTGTCTCTGTTCCTAACGACCTTTTATCCAAAAAGCACCTAGCGACATTTCTCAGGACGCGTTGCTACTTTCTGTAGAACTTTCTTGTAGATATTCCCCACAGATTAGCAACAAAGAAACCATTTGCACTCTGAACCGTTCTTCCGGGAGTAAGGAAAGAGAAAAATAATCTGCACATGTGCACGAGGACTGACCAATCATAAACCGTTTTCGGCCGAGCTGATTCGCCGAAGACAAATGTACAGCTGCAGAGCTGGAGACCGCCGATTTACGTATGCTGCTGCTGCAGGCTCACGCTTCTACTAGAGATGGCGTAGGCGTCAACCTGCGATCTCTGGTTCTGCAGCCATCAGACACTTTGGCTTTTCCTGCATTTGGCAAATAAAGTCAACGGGAGTCTCAACTACCGTCCCGTTTACACACGCAGCTCTGTGGCTCATCTGAGTTTCCTTCAGTGACACAGGGATGGTTATACTGAGACACCCGCTCCCTTTTGCTCGGTGCGCCGTTATTATCATGGAGAGAATACACAACAGAGAAGTTGAGAAACTATGAGGTGTAAAAAAAAAACAGCTTTTTAGGTAAATGTCTGTGAGAATGAGGAGAGCAGGAGGTCTGAATTATATCCTACAACAGAATATCTGTCTTAATGTCACTTTATTGATACTTTTGGAATTTATTGTACATGGGCTGCATGGTGGCGCAGTGGTTAGCACTGTTGCCTCGCAACTCAAAGGTTGCAGGTTCGAAACTCGGCTCGTGGAGTTGCGTGTTCTCCCCATGCATGCGTGGGTTTCCTCCAGGTACTCCGGTTTCCCCACAGATCACAACATGCCCTATAGGTTATAAATTGTAAGTCGCTTTGGATAAAAGCGTCTGCTAAATGAATAAACATAAACATATCAAAGCAATTTGGGCCATTTTTATCATACTAATTAATAACTTTAACACAACTTAGTTTTTTTATTTTCCTCCCTTTTAGTCCTGTATATCTTTTAGATGCTATGGGGTAAATGAACGCCAATGTGGCGTGATGATGTCATCAATATGTAAATTAACAAGTGGCGACATCTAGCGACTTTTGGGGGGAACTTCAGCTACTTTCAGTCAAAACCAGTCGGCAACACTGCTCCGGGTATCCGTTGATGTTTCCCGATTACACGGGGGAGGAGGGGGTTTGGCTCGTCTCTCCGGCTTCGCACAAGCAGGATGGAATAACAGAACTCCGTTGGCATTGAACGTCCCCAAATAATTAAAAGCCAGGATGTCAAATGCAAAGTTTAGAGCAGCACATTCACCCAGAGGCTCTCAGATTGAGCAAACTTGTGAGAATACACGTAATAACCGTTTAGAGACGGGGCAACGTGTCGCTAGCATAGCGGCTAATCGCTAGCGTAGCAGTTTGACCAGTTATATTGATATAAAGATATAAAGTCATCTTATATCTTGTTTTAAAAATTGTCGATATTTTAAAAATACCGATATATCGCCCAGCCCTAGTGCTCGCTATACATTTTAGTCTACTTGATAACTTTGAGCTTTTATGTAGTTTCTTTATAGCCAATGCTATTATGAATTCTTATTCATTCTTTTAAATTGATATGTTTTTTATTGTATGCATTTTACTTTATTTATTGTTCTTGTATTCTAATCGATGTTTAAATGTTTTTGGACCGACGTGTCTGTTAATAAAGCATTCATTCATAACAGTTGAGATTCCAATCCTAAAATCAAATTTTTTGCAATTTTCATTTTAATGAAGATACTTTCTTGGTGATGCAGATTAGCAACAGTCAGGACGGGAACACGCAGGCCCTTTAGCTCACTTACAAAAAAACCCACAAAGGCGATTTATTAGTCAGTCTGAAAATGAATACTTTGAACAGAAAACAGCCAGTTGAACTCAGACTAGAAGGATGGTTCAGGACACGACTGTACGAGTTCTCTTGGAGGCATTAAAGTTGACAGTTTTTGTAGAACTATCACACAACAGCATACATCTTGGTTTCAGTGCTGACAATCACAGGGGTTGACCTAATGACCTGCTATGGTTCTTCCTGTTCTGATCGGATGAAGGCCAGCATTCCGGGTTTCACCAGATTGATGCTTTGGTTAAGAGATTCCTCTTGATCACAAACGATTTGTTGTAATAGCAGGAAGCTCTTGTAGTTTCTTACTAAATATTCAAGCATTAATCAGTGTTTTCATCTGTAGCTTTTTCTGCGTTTAGCTAGCATTAACCCCTATGGCTTAATTAGCTGTTACCGCAAAACGTCTATGAGCTTGAACACGTTTCTGTGTTGGAGATGTTCTGCAAATGCACATCTTCCTGCTTACAGAGAAACCAAACCCCAAAATAACTTTTTACTTATTAACTGTATAATTGGGTCTTTACAAATGAAATCTTTCGGTTTCTGTGCATTTGTGACATGTTTGTGTAAACTTGATTAAATCTAGAATCTAGGTCGGAAGATGTCTCAGTGCTGCCCCTGTGGGTAGAACTGTAGCTACTGCATTTAAAACTTGTGATTGGCTGGGGCTGGAACAATTTCACGTCATCGGTACAGTCTCCTCCCCCTCCCCCCCAGGATGGAAATTGACCATGCCACTCTGTGCCTCTGGGCAGCGCCCACTTTCATAGCATTTTTCAGATCTTGACTAGGGGTGGAGTCCCTCTTTAAAGCCATCAGTCTGACTTTCTTTGCTTTAGCAGTAGGAATGGGTGGTGTGGCCTGAAATGGTTTTTTTTTTTTTTTACCATGTGTGGTAACAATAAATACTGTGATATATTCTTCTGTTTATGCTTGTAAAAATTCTCAAATACCAGACTAATCGCAGTTGATTCAGGGGGGTCTGCTAAGCCTGGTGGCCCCTGGGGAAGTCCTAGTCCTGTACCGGTTAGACCCTGTACCGATTAAATGCTGTACCGGTTAGACCCTGTACCGATTAAATGCTGTACCGGTTAGACCGTGTACAGGTTAGACCCTGTACCGGTTAGACCGTGTATCGGTTAGACCGTGTACCGGTTAGACCCTGTACGGGTTAGACCCTGTACCGGTTAGACGCTGTACCGGTTAGACGCTGTACCGGTTAAACAGTGCGTTACTATTTAGTAAAGGTGGAAATGTGTGATGAAATGAAAAGGTTTTATTTATTTTTTTAAATGTTTATTTCCTCGTTGAGCAAATTTGCTGCTTCAGTCTTAGTGAAACATCTGTTCCTGCAGCCGGCCCAGTACCGCACACATCATCCTGGATTTAGGGGTTTTATTTTCTGTGGTTGTGCTTTGGTGGATTGCATCTGGTTACCAGAATAATCAGAACTTGAGTCAGAAATAATCCAAAACATGAAAGTTTCACTAAACCAGGTGGAGTTTTTCTTCACACAGATGGTCTTTAGTGGGTTCACTACTTCGTAACAGATGTTAGATGTTCTTGACTTTCTCCCAAAAGACTCTAAAGAAAATAAAAATTATCTTAATCATAATCTTTTGACATGTTCTTTGTTAAATAATGAACACACACACACACACACACATCCTGCCTCCCTTCATGCTGTCGTTTCGTCTCCCCACAGATACATTGTGCTGACCACCTCGGCTGGCATCATGGATCATGAAGAGGCCAGACGGAAACACACGGGAGGCAAAATCCTTGGATTCTTTTTCTAAAACACAAAGAACTGAAAATAAAAACCATAGAAAAAAAACAGCAGGTGTGTCGTGACTTTCTTCATCTGAGTGGGGTCTTTGTTCTTACAAGAAGATCAGGGTGTTCTTATAGGTTCTTAAAGTCCTTGAAAAAGTTAAAATCTTAATGTGATTTAAAGCTTTTAAACATGCAATTCCATTAAAATGCCCACAACTACAATAACCCGAACGCTTATGAACCGAGGAGGTTAAACGTGAGTGTTGAGGAACCTTGGACCGCTTCCTACATGGATTATCCGTCTCTTTGATTTGTCATGTTTCCCTCCTGGGCTTCTTCAGGGCAAGAGGATCCCTCTCTCTGACATCAGAACCCACTGAAGCACCTTCAGCTGGAACCAGGTGTTCTTTCATGGAGCTCCCAGAGGTGAATGTTCTAGAGTGAAGCAAGTCTTTTAGAAAGCTGCGGTCTTGATGTCGTGTAAAATGAAATCAGCAGCAGATTAATCCAGCTGAGATTAGAGATTACAGCTAAACAGATGTATGTGCTGACTGATGACGGGCATGTTGGGAATAAACCAAGGAACAACGAGCACACCCTCCACCAACACTTCAGCATCATTCAGTTCTGGATGGTTTGGAGGATTTTTAGGTCCCTCAACGTTGCAGTGCTCGCGTTGGCTTTGGTACGTGATAAATTCCTGGTGACTAATTAGTTTTATTTTGACGGCCTCCCCATCACCCCACCAGTCCACTCACCAGCTTTTACTGACCGGACCGGCAGCGTCCACCAACCTGGCCGTTGCTCATCACCACTCATGATCAGTCCCTCTGAAAACATGGGAGGACATCAATGCAAAGGCAGCAGCGTGACCAACTTCCTGTTCTACGGTTATTTATTGTGTGCGGCACTTTGGAGCAACAGCGGTTGCCAATAGAAATAAAACTTGACCAAATATTTTATCAGTAATTCTTGATTTCTTGCTCTGCCTCGAAGTAAAAGCGAATATAAAACGTAAGTGAACTAACTTCTTAAAGGTTCTGTTCAGACGTCCTGATCCAGCTCTGGTTCTTCTGGAGGATGCGTTGTTACTATGGTGATCCTGAGTGTGTACCATGCTTCAGCAGGTTGGAGAAGTCAGCATCACATGGTCTAAATAAAATATGAAGTAACTACTCATGTTCATAACTACATAATGTAAACGGCCTGTATTTGATATAGTGCCTTCTAGTGTCCTAGAACCCCCCAAAGCACTTTACAACACAGTCATTCACACACTGGTGGTGATGAGCTACGATGTAGCCACAGCGGCCCTGGGGCGCACTGACAGGCGAGGCTGCCGAGCACAGGCGCCACCAGTCCCTCCGACAACCACCAGCAGGCAAGGGGGGTTAAGTGTCTTGCCCAAGGACACAACAACAGCGACAGACTGAGCGGGGCTCGAACCTGCAACCTTCCGATTACGGGGCGAGCACCTGTGCCACCGTCGCTCTATGGCTAACAGTTGGTGAATTGCTCCAAAGGTGACCTGAGAGGTGAATGACGTCCAGAAAAGTAGGAAGTTGTTCCGAAAAGTGTAGTTTTGTGATGTGCCCCCTCCCCCATCAATAAGCACATCCCGGTGGGGTGGGGGTGTACTCAGAGTTGTACCCCCCATCTCACAGAGGCAGTTAAAAGCTGCTGCATCTTCTCTAAGCTGGTAATTGCTTGTAAAAAGCCTTTGCTTTTCTGCTCTGCAATCATCTCGGTTACCTTTTCCGTGCTCCTCTGAATTTTGTCTCGTCCCTAACCTGCAGTCTGGTTACTGCATGACCTTGCATTAGACGGGGGGGCATCAAAGCCTAATGCAGCAGTTCTGTCCAAGTTCTCATCCTGCACTAAACGCTCGAGACCAGATTGCCTCTCTCATGGGTTTATAGCACTTAGGAGCTACCTTTTACAGGAGAAAAACAATCTTACACTTTCCTGTTTGGTAAAGATTCAGGAAAATAGGCTCAGAGCGATTTAAAGCTCTGTTAGCAGGGAGTGTGTTGATGTCAAAGCAGCTGGTTCGTGTTCTGGTTGCAAGAAAGAAAACATCCACATTTATGGCTTTTAGACAATTTAGTCCTAAAACAGACTGAAAGAGCTGGGAGGTCAAACACCCTACCAGTTTCCTGTTCGTAAAAAATTTAATTGTTTGAAGAACTGTTAAAAAAAGCAACTCACATCCTTTCTGTCGGCTGTAACATATTATGTTTATGATCCTTACCAAAAAGTAGTACACTTCAAGTTTATTTTACAAAGTATACTAAAGTATATGTCCCCAAGTATACTTTTATTCTCCAAGTACACGGATACAAGTACACCAGCAGTTTACTATCAAGTATACTTCTTCGCACTAAATTGGAACACTTTAAGTCCCTAAAAGTATACTTAGAAGAACACTAAAGTAAACTTCAAGCTATACTTTTAGTCTACTTGTAATAAACTTCAAGTAGACTTTGTTTACTTGCAATAAACTGTTTTGTATACTTTTTGTTTACCTGTAATAAACTAAGTAAGCTTGTAGTTCACTTGTGATGTACTCTGAGTAAACTTTTTGTTCACTTGTTATATACTTTTACTAAATTTTTAGTTCACTTGTAATATACTTTAAGTAAACTTTTAGTTTACTTGAAAATAAACTTAGGTATCCTTTTAGTTTACTTGCAATGACCTTTAAGTTTACTTATAGTTTTATGAAAGTACACTTTAATGTATACTAAATGCAATCTTCAAGGTATACGAATAGTTTACTACCAGTTAACCTAACATTTACAAAAACTACTGAATGTAACATTTGAGGTTTCTCAGTAGTACTACAAATAAACTTCTAGTTATATTTATTCTTCACATTTTAATGCCAAGTAAGAAAAATGTAACAAACGAAGATGAACAGTAAAAGATAAAAATAAGGTAAAAGTTAAAAAACAGTAGACTAAAAATTTTGAATAAAAAGTATACAAACATAGCAGTACACAGTGCAGACAATCTAGAAATATACATATGTATGCGCATTGAAAAATGTATTTGTATGTATATCATATCAGGTGTGACATTAAAGGCAGACGATTTGATGCTCCACCTGAGAGTACATCTGTAAGGCTTGTCACCAGCATTCAGACATCAATTCTGTTTGCTTCACAGCCAGACAGGACACGGGGGAAGAAAAAAAAGTTACAAGGGTTTGATTGTATGTAGGGGGCGCTGTCTCATATTTAGGAAAAGATCCCATGGAGCAGTTTGTAGGTTCACAACAATCATTTGCGTGTAGTTTGATGTGAATTGATTCATGCATGTGTTATTCAGGGCCTAATACCTGTCAGGGGGCGGAGCTAAAGTGATATCAACCAATGACCACAGGACTGTGTTGGGCGCGTTTGTGTGATGACATATAGCAAGTTTGGTGCAGTTGTGACCTCGTCTGTAAAAGTTATTACAGTTTTAAAGGTATGTAGGGGGCGCTGTGGTGATATTATACAACGTTCACCAACCGTTTATGCCTTGTTGGCTAAAGGGCATGATTGTTGACGCGCTCCAGACATCTGCGTCCTGAGCACGGCCACAGTAACATTATCAAATCAGGAGTCGCCACCTCAAAAACCAATTTAACACGCGATCGTTCATGTTGGCCCATTTCCTTTTATGTTTTCTGTCTTTTATTCTTTTATTTGTGCCTGATGCTTTTCGCTGCTGTGGATCGGGGCGCATCACCTGTTTTGTCCTCGGTGACGCATCTAACTGATGTGGCCGGCGCGCACTCCGCTGTTTTAGCGGTCGGTAGATCTTTTAGAACTGCAGTTCAAAGGTAACTCATAAAGTGAATATATATGAACCCAGGTAGCAGTTTCTCTTTAGGACTGAGAGGAGATGCAGGAAGATAATAAACAGGCAGGACAGAAAAATAGTCAAATAAAAACAAGTTAGTTTTTGTACCTGGTGGTTGCAACAAACAGACACCATTGAAGGTAATCAGAAGTGAGGAACAGAAAATGAAATAATTATTTTAATGTTTAGAGCAGCAGGAACTCTTGAGAGGCTGCAGGCGCATCAGTGAGTTTGCGGCCGCTGCGCAGGGGGAGGGGGGAGAGGGCTGAAGCAGAAACTATCGTTGTTAAAAGAAATGTGTTTAACTTTGAAAATATGGGCGCAATTTTAATTGTCAAAAACTCCAGTGAACCATTAGTTCATTTTGCTCAAATAGAAATGGAGGCCTGCCTCTAATTCTGGACCTCCTTCCAATAAAGGCCTGGAGCTTGATGAGCTTGAGTCAAATACAGGCCCGGGCCTGTATTAGATTATTTACGGTACATCAAAAACATGAGAATAACAAATATATTTAAAAAATATAGTGCAGGAGGGGGTAAAAAAGCCAAATTCGGCTTATATGAAGCGTCCACCTATAGTTCATAATCTAATCAAATTTGCAAGTACTAAGTTGTTTAAAAGATAACAAAAATATAAAGGCACAAACAAGCAAACGAAAGTACATGAAATTTAACTGAAAAAAAAAACACCAGACCTTTAATACCTTAAAAAAGAATACAACTACTAGAAAAAATAAAAGTTCCTAAACATGCTCTCCCTTTATTACATGGCCTTTTAACTGTTTTTTAAATACTTCCACAGTAGAACACTGGGTTGCCAGATGAGAAAAACGGTTCCACAGAACTGAACCCCCTATAATGTACGGAAAATTGTCCTAAACTAGAAAGATATTTTGGGGGGTGAAGACACATCAACTGTCGTGTATTATGTGAATGAATGAGTGAATTAGCTCTAATGAAAGTTTTGAATTGTTTGGATATTTTACCATTTGTCAATAAAATCCTATAAATGAAGACACAAATATGGTGGATATTCAATTCATGGATAGTCAGTATATTTAGCCTCTGAAGCAAAGGAACAGAAGATGCATGTAGTTCAGATCTAGTTGCTATTCTGACAAAGCGTTTCTGAAGAAGTAAAATTCTGTTAGTTTTTTTCGATTGCTAAAATTCAAAAAGCAAAAAATGAGGCACAATTTTCACAACCTCTACTTCTGTTCCCAATCGCTTGACTCAATTTATCACTACTTAAGATTTCCTTATCATATCAGAACTCTGATTTTCCGCCTTTACACTCTGATGTCAATTTCACATTACCTTGCTGTCAAAACACAACACACAATTTTCAGGTTTACACACACTTCTCACATAAATTCTCAAAGCTTCAATCAACAACACACAAATATTCAAATCTCTAAACTTTCGGGTCTGGCGAGCAGTTTGCAATCAGGGACTGCAGCATAAAATTAAGTTTCCACAAGGCTACCCAGGTGTATGAGTGGTTTCAGGACCACCCACGGTTTTCCATTTTATACCTTCCACCTTATTCCCCCTTCCTCAATCCCACTGAGGAGTTTTTCTCAGCCTGGAGGTGGAAGGTGTACGAAAGGAATCCACAGAGCCAGGTCCCACTGCTTCAAGCCATGGAGGAGGCTTGTAGAGATGTGGCCTTTGAGGCCTGTCAGGGCTTCATGAGGCACTCGAGGCGGTACTTCCAGAGCTGTTTGGACCAGGAGGACATCGCCTGTGATGTCTAATGTTTGTCTCAGAGAAAAGTGGGCACTGTCACACATTCAGTGTATAATTCATTGTGTTCCCTTTCGACAATTGTGTTTTCAGTTTTGCTCTTCAGTGTTCTTTCCATGCTTTATAGTGTTCACCCAAAGGCTACTTGTGTTTAAGCAATGAATGGTATGTGTGGGTCATGTGAAAATGTGGCTGTGTTTACCAAATGAAAACACGTGTTCCATTTTGGGAACATGTTACGATATGTGGTGGCAGGGTTTTGTTGCAAAGGGAAGCCACGGTTTAGGAATTTGGGTGTTATGTTTGGGGTTTTGTGTGTGCAGTTTTGAAAGAAACGTACAGTTTTGAAAAACGCCTTTTAGCAATCGAAAAAACTGTAAGAGTAGTAGGGAGTGTGCTACCCCAGATCATGTTACAGTACGCAAGATGAGGATACACTAGAACAGTGTTTCTCAATCTGGAGGGCCGGTCCAGCATGTTTTAGTTTTAATCCTGTTTCAACACACCTATTTCAATCACCAGGCAATTAACAGACAAAGCTTGATGAGCTGTTGCATCAAGTGTTGCAGAGACAACTAAAACATGCTAGATACCAGCCCTCCAGGACCAAGATTGAGAACCACTGCACTAGACCATAATTCAATATTATAAGACATTTTGTAGAGACAAAAGAGCTCACTGTCCTTATTATACCGATTGATTTACTGATTTTTTTTACTAACATAATCAGCATGCATTTTCCAATTTAATTTTTCATCAACAGTAACTCCCAAAAATTTTACAAATGAAGCCTGTGGTAGTTCAGTGGTGTCAATTTTAATTTGATTTATACCTATATTGTTTGGCTTTTTTCCACTAAATATAATAAAATTAGATTTAATAATATTTAAAGATAATTTATTCAATGTGAACCATGCGTTATAGGCAGCTAATCCATAATAGACCTTCTCAATCAGTATTTCAAAATTTGGATGTGATACCACTAGAGTTGTGTCATCTGCAAACATAATTGGTGATAGTGTGACAGAGACATTAAATATATCATTTATATAAATAAGCAACAACAGAGGACCCAAAATTGAACCCTGTGGTGCCCCACAATCAAGCTTAGCTCTGTTGGAAAAACATCCTTTAGCTGAAACGAGCTGGGTTCTGTTAGAAATGTAACTGGTTAACCATTTGTGAGTAGTATGTCTAAAACCATATTTGTGCAATTTAGCTAAAAGTATTTTATGATTTACAATGTCGAAGGCTTTAGAAAAAGTCTAAAAAAAAAAAACACTGCAAGTGAATTCATTGTTTTCCAGGGCAGTTGAAATTTTGTTGGTCAGGTTGAGTAAAGCCATACAGGTGGAGTGATTTTTACGAAAGCCATATTGGTAATCATTAATAACTGCATTTCTATCTAAATGAAGAATTATTTTATTAAAAACTATTTTTTCCAGAATTTTTGAAAAACATGACAAAATAGAAATGGGTCTATAGTTAGAAAAATTGGAAGGATCTCCTGCTTTAAACACGGGGACAACTTTTGCAAATTTTAGTTCCTCTGGTACAAAACCTGTTTGAAGAGACAAAGAAAATATATAAAAGAGTGGTTCTAAAATAAACTGTTTCACCTGCTTAATAAGTAATACTGATATGTTATCGAGCCCAGCTGCAGATGTTTTTAGTTGGTCAATGATATCACCTACTTCCTGCCGATCAAAGGGTCTAAATGTTGACATAATAGGGAATTAACCTTTGATGAAGTCCAGAGGATCACCCTCACAACTTGGAATTTCATTAGCTAGTTTTATATGATGTTGACATTTCTGAAAATGAATATAATAAGGTGATTAAAAATATCCCAAGTGCTCTGGTTCATCTAGTTAAAGCTTCTATCGGTTATATATTTAACCCTAGACTCAAAATATTAGCAGTTGATGGGATAGAAATTTTCAATAAAAAATGTAATAATATTTTCCTGAGAAACAAATTAAACAAAACCTTTTATCCAAACCCAATACTCTGATTCTCATTACTACAAAACTTTTCAAAAGAAGAAATTAAAGTTTCTTTACCCCCAAAGTATAAAGAAGTCCATTTTAAAACCTTGAATGATATTTACCCATCTAACCATTTTATACAAACTAGATTTAAATTCAATGTGGAAAAATGTTACTTGTGCAAACAAAACGATGAATCGACTAAACATCTTTTCTATGAATGTGATCAAATTTTAATGATGTGGAAATCACTCCACGATTGGCTGAACTCCAATCAAATTTATATAAACAATTTCACAATTGAAGATATCTTATTTGGCATTATACTAAAAGATAAAAATAATGAATTTCTAATTAATAATCTCATAATCTTAACAAAATTTTTCATACACAAATGCCGATATCTCAAAAATCCACCTACGTGGAATAATCTCAAAAATGAAATTAAACTGCTATTGAGATCCTTAGGTAAAATGTCCACCCCCAATGCTATAAAGCTTTATGATTTCATTATGAACACTAATCTCTAACTGCTTTTTGGATGATATACACAATAGACCTTGTTTGCTCTTTAACTTCCCCCTTGTAAAACTTTATTTATATACACATAATTTTCTTTTTCATGCTGTCTTATTTGTATCCTTTCATGTTCTATTTTTGTTTTTGTTTTTTTGTTGTTGTTTTTGTTTATTGTCTTCTTACTATACCAAGTTGAATTGTATCTACAAAATGCAAGTTGAGATGAACACGAACTTTGGAGCTACTCTGTAATGTCATTCTGCTAACAATTTTTGAAATGTAGTCGTTTTTGTTCGTTTTACAAAGGTTCAATAAAAGTTCTTTAAAAAAAAAAAGAATGCTTAAATGCTTTAGCTTTATCAAGTAGCATTAGCCCAGGTTGGTAGCTGGTGTTTGGTCTTTGGGCCATGCCCTGTGGGCTTTTCAAAAAGATTTAATCTTTGTAAAAAATGTGATAGGATTTTTTCCTACGTAATGTCCATCATCCTAAAACTGAAGTTGTTGTAGGACCCAAGTGCAGGAAATCCCTTCTTTTCTGTTTATCTGGGTTTGGGTTATAGGAGTTCCTTCAGCAGCCTCTCGGGTAATCTGGAGCAATGCAGAGCTCCTGGAGGTAGTCAAATAAATCTCATAAAGATCTGAGAGTTTTTTTTCTTTCATTCATTTATTCTCTAAACTCATTAATTTCCCTGTAAGGTCTCAGAGAGCTGGTGCCTAGCTACAGGAGTCCCACAGTGAGATGTGGGGGACGCCCTGGACAGGTCTTTGGTCCATCACAGGGACGCACGGAAACAATCAGTTACACACTCACTCTCACCTAGGAACAATTAATCTAAGTCTCTAATGAATCTAAACATAACTAACCTACATTTTTTGGCCTGTTGGGGGAAACCGGAGCACCCGGAGAAAACCCCAAAATACGTGGGAAGAACATGCTAACTCCACGCAAAAAGACTGATGCTGAATTCAAACTAAGTGTTGCTGAGAGGGGAGCTTGCTACTAACTGCACCTCATATCAATAAATATAACAGATAATGAGTAAATAATACACTCACTCATTTTTGTAGAGTCTGTTCATCGGTAGGTCTAAAGGGAGCAGCTTTAGGGAACCTATAAGCTAATCTAGATGTTTCATTACACTTGACTACGTGTTTTTCCTCCAGATGCTGTATTATTTCTTCCAACCCTTTATTATATTAATGTTTCACTATCTCAGACCGTTTCTGTTAACTCACATGTTTGAATTTGTCTGAGTCTCTTGCTGCCTCCGACTGTTTTTCTCTTTATCTAACTGTAGCTGAAGATCCTGGAAAAAGTCCATGTGTTCATCTAGACGTTTCATCACGCTTGAGTACACGTTCTGTTCATCCAGATGTGTTTTTACATCTGAGTCAGGTTTCAGCTCATCCAGTTGTACTTTAACGTCTTCAACTACTTCATCTAGTTCATCTGGATGTTTACATTTGTCTGAGTCGTTTTTAACCTCAGACTGCCTTTGCTTTTTATCTAACTGTAGCTGAAGATCCTGGAAAAAGTCCATATGTTCATCTAGACGTTTCATCACGCTTGAGTACACGTTCTGATCATCCAGATGTGTTGCTATGTTTGAGTCTGGTTTCTGATCATCCAGATGTGTTGCTATGTTTGAGTCTGGTTTCTGATCATCCAGATGTGTTGCTATGTTTGAGTCTGGTTTCTGATCATCCAGATGTTCCATTTCTTCCAACCAATCATCCAGGAGTTTAAATTTGTCTGAGTCTTTTATTTCCTCAGACTGCTCTCGTTTATTTTCTAGTTTTTGTTTGTGATCCTCAAAAAAATGTTCGTCCAGATGTCTAGAGGTCTCAGACCGTGTTTGAGGTTCGTCCAGATGTTTTGTGATCTCAGACTGTTTTTGTTTTCTCTCCAATGTTTGTTTAAGATCTTCAAAAAAGTCCATATGTTCATTTAGACGTCTCACCTCGCTTGAGTACAGGTTCTGTTCATCCAGATGTGTTTTTACATCTGAGTCAGGTTTCAGCTGATCCAGTTGTAGTTTAACGTCTTCGAACAGTTCTTCTAGTTCATCTGGATGTTTAAATTTGTCTGAGTCGTTTATTTCCTCAGACTGCCTTTGCTTTTTATCTAACTGTAGCTGAAGATCCTGGAAAAAGTCCATATGTTCATCTAGACGTTTCATCACGCTTGAGTGCGAATTCTGTTCATCCAGATGTGTTTTTACATCTGGGTCAGGTTTCAGCTCGTCCAGTTGTAGTTGAGTGTCTTTGAACGGTTCATCTAGTTTATCTGGATGTTTAAATTCGTCTGAGTCTTCTGCTGCTTCAGACTGGCTTTGCTTTCTCTCTAATGTTTGTTTCAAATCTTCAAAAAAGTCCATATGTTCGTCTAGACGATCCATGGTCTCTGACTGTATTTTAAGTTTTCCCAGATATTTCGTGGTGCCAGACTGGTATTTCATTTCCCTCAGACGTGCCAAAGCTACGTGTAACGTTTCATCTGCTTTTCTCTTTTCAAACTCTTTAGTTTTAATTTTAAATAATCTTTTCCCTTCTTCCAGTAGTTCAGTCTCTTCTCTCAGCTGTAGCTTGATGTCCTCAAGTGTATTTTTTTCATTACACAACGTTTCTTTCTCTTTCTGCACTTGTCGCCGCTCCTGTTCAACCTTCCACTTTGCTGTTTCAAGTTGGCGTTTCTGCTTTTCTAATGATAATTTCTCTCTCTTAATCTTTTGCTTTTCATCCTTATGATCTTGGATCTGTTTCTGTTGTGTGTTACAACGATCTCTGAGTTTGAGAATTTCTTCTTCCAGGAGTTTTACGTGTTTAGCTAATCTTTCTTCCTGGCTTTCTTTTTGATTTGGCTGCTGAATGCTATTACACATGCTATAAACTCCATTTAAATAATTAATCACTGCATTAAGGTTTAAATCAGCTGTTGGCTTTGGCTTGGGGGCGTTTGTTTCACTGGTACCATAATAGTCATTCTGTTCTGATAAATCTTCTGGACTTAAAGTCTGCAGATTGCCTTCAGTCTTTCCAGTTTCATCGTCACATTTAAAGATCACGTTGGGTTTAAAAGCAGAAACTGGATTTTCGTTTGTTCCACTGACTGACTTTTCATCCTCTTGAGAAGAGTCCTCTAAACTGTGGAAAGTTTCTGCTGTCGGCTGACTGCTATCAGCCCAGATATACATTTCATTTAGATATCTAATAGCTGCACTGGGACTTAAATCAGCATGTGGCGTTTGCTCTTTGTCTCCGATGCCACAGCAATCTTGTTCTGTAGAGTTTTCTGGACGCACAGTCTGCAGACTGCTGTCAACTCCTACAAGTTCATCCACACAAAAAGCCCCGTTGGGTTTTAAATCAGAAATCTGAGTTTCATTTTTTCCACTGGCTGATTCTTGTTTATCCTCTTGTGAAGAGTCCTCTAAACTGTGAAAATGGTTCCCTGTCTTAGTTTGCAGGCTGCTGTTTGAATATTTACCAGCTGCATTGAGTTTTAAATCAGCACATGAATTTAGCTCCGTGGCATTTTTCCCACGGTTCTCATAAAAATCCTTCTTTTGAGAAGAATCCACAAAATCGGAGAGTATTTTCTCTGTAAGTACAGACATGATCCTACCTGTAAAGTTTGTGGTAAATCCGGACTTCAGAGAGGTATGCTGTGCAAGCTACTGTATGACGTGTCACCTAGTCGAATGAGTTCTAAGGTGTGATGTCATCTAAAGGCACGATCAAAGGGTACGTCCTGCAGCGTCTGCGTGCCCTGCGTGGGTAGTGGTAGTGCCGTTGTCATTGGGGAGGAGGAGGAGGGGAGGAGGGGGGGGGGGGGTGCACAATTGAAAATAGATCACGTGGGATCACTATTCACGTGTCTAACCTACTTTTGGATTTTATCTATGTGTTTCTTATATTTTTTGTGCGCATGATTTGCTCGTTAACAACATTTCGTGTGATTTAGTGAACACCGGAACACACAACAGTAGTTTTGTAACGCATGAATGAAGGATTTCTCAAGCAGCAACACAACTTTTCTCCTTACAAATAATGAAATAATGTCCTGAAGTCTCAAAGCTTCTCCTGTTTGAACCGAACATGAAACAATAACGTCCAAAGGAGACATTTTGGTTTGAAAAGTGGTAAAACACTAATGCCGTTGCCATGGAAACGTGTAAACTCTTAAGCTGGATTTATACTTTCCTCGTCAGCTCCAACAGGGAGAGACACGCACGCACGGACGGAGACATTTTCAGACTTCTCCGTCTCCTGGGGAGTGTTGCAAAGCAATTCCGTGCCAGGACAGCAGAGGGCGTAGCGCTGTTCTGTGGTATCCTGTCATGTATCCGGTCCAGTATGTTTATATTGTGTTTATTTATTTATTTATTTGTATATAAGAGACTTTTTAACACAGACAAAATTGTTTCAATTCAATTCAAGTTTATTTCTATTGCGCCTAATCACGACCAGAGTCGTCTCAAGGCACTTCACATAATAAATACTCCAATACAGGTCAGTTCATTAAGCCAATCAGAAAAAAGTTTCCTATAAAAGGAACCCAGCAGGTTGCATCAAGCAACTTTACAGCAATCCTCATACTAAGCAAGCATTTAACGACAGTGGAGAGGAAAACTCCCTCCAACCTCCAGATGATCCTGGCTCAGTATAAGCAGCCATCCACCATAACTCAATGGGGATCGAGAAGACAGAGCAGACACACACACAACATATATATCAAGTAGTGTTTCTATGTAAGATGTCACTTGGTGTCTCCTCTGCATCACCAGGTGGTCTAGGAATCAGATGAAGACCTGAAACTTCTTTGGGTAGGATTACATCTCAGCTGGACTGCGGTAAAGTTAGCTTGAAGTTGGACGTTGGATATTCGACAAACCCGGTTCCCCCGGTTAGCGAAAAGTCTTCATGCCGTGCGCTCCGGCGGCGGTTAGCTGAGTTTCGAGGACTCGCCAACGGGAACGGTGGCTCGCTACGTAGTATCCTACTGGTTTATGTAGTATCTTACTCTTTAGCCATTGGCTAAAATTTATTCAAAATGACTCAAATTCTATGTTTTAAGCTGAAGGTGGCGCAATACTGTGGTATTTAGGCAGAATTTTTAATTTTTAAAGAAAATACACCAAATGCTAAAATAGTGAATACACACATTTAAAACACTATTAGACACTCATTTATACAGTTCATCAGCAAAAAAAAAAGTTCATTTAGACGTTACTAGTTCTTTAAGGACTATCAACAAATTTGTAGTCCTTTGTAAAGGAGTACAAAAAAACAAAAGCTTCCAGAATAATTGCCTAAATGACTTAAAATTACTTCTGAGTTGTGTTGCTCAACTACATTTACAAGACACAGCAGTTTTAACACATTTCACACAATCTGATCTGTTTTATTCTAATTTTTAACCAAAATGACAATATTTTTTTCAATAGCTCCTAGGTAAATCAGTCTGAATACATAATACCATTTCTCAATGGTGTTACTTAGCCAGACCAATAAGACACAGCAGCTTGTTTCCACAGTTTTCAAGATCTGATCTTTTTTATTAGGATTTTTATCAAAAATTCAGTGATTTCTTCTAATAGCTCCTAGGTTAATTTATTTTAATACTCAAAACCCTTTCTCAGTGGTTTCACTAAGGTAGATCAATGAGACACAGCAGTTTTGATCACATTTCACAAGATTTGATCTCTTTTATTGGAATTTTCACAAATACAGTGAATTCTTTCAATAGCTCTTTTCACACCTCCTGCACCATGTAAGCTGGGTGTGAATGAGTCTCCCAGTGCCCTGGCTGCCACACTCTGTTCATTCAATTGTAGGTATTTGTGTGTTTGCTTCATGGTTTTTCCTTGTTTCACCTATCTTCAGCACGCTCTGTTCCCTCAGTGGAGTCATCCTTGACGCCTCCTCCAAACACCTGCGTTTCACATAAGGGTGTTGCCGCTGTACCAGCTGTAATGTTCTGGTTCTGATCTGATTCACAACCATAGACCCTGTTTCAGATGAAAAGTATAAAAATTATTAAAATAAGTTTATACTTATTTTCCCAAGCTGAGAGTTCTAAAAACAAGTTAAAATTTGCAGAGAGGAAAAGCAGAGAATAAATAAACCCAAATCCTGTCCAATCATCCTTTGAGCAACATTATTCTCAAACTTTTCAGAAATAATTTGTGAATAATCTAAGCAGCCCTTTCCTGTTGTTGCTCTTCAAACTCTTCTTAATGCCTAACTTAAAAAAATATTTGTACACCTAATCAAGTTTCTGCTGAAAACAAACCTCACCACTTAACAACTGTACTGGACATATACATATATATACATATATATATATACATATATATATATATATATACATATATATACATATATATACATATATATATATATATATATATATATATATATATATATATATATATATATATATATATATATATATATATATGTATGTATGTATGTGTGTGTGTGTGTGTGTGTGTGTGTGTGTGTAAGAGAGGAATATATATATATATATATATATATATATATATTCCTCTCTTACACACACACACACACACACACACACACACACACATACATACATACATACATACATACATATATATATATATATATATATATATATATATATATATATATATATATATATATATATATATATATATATATATACCGTAAATCCTCTAATACAGGCCTGTATTCAATTAAAGGCCGGGTGTCCAATTATGGCTGGTGTCGGAGTCAGCGGAAGTGAATAATGGCCGGTCTCTTATTGTGGTCGGGTGGAATGTGGTAACAAGCAAGTACGGGGGGCGGTTGTGTCATCGTCTCACTTTTGATTTGCCAGTGATAGACCGCGAGGGTAACTTTAACCGTGCGGAGACGAGGAGGAGGCGAAAATTTGATATCAAGTTCAAAGAGAACGTGCTGATTATGCTGCAGAACACTCTGGGGAGCAGTAGCAGGGGTTGTATGAACTAGTCGACTTCACTATAGTGACTTTTTATGCCTGTCGTCGACTAGTCGCTGTCACGTGATAATGACCGGCAAGATGCAGCCCTCGGAAAAGACAGCAGCCTGCTGTCAGCAGGTGACAAGCTCCTGCGCTCGGGGGGGCAACGCGCTGTGCCAGTGCGTCGGTACTGACACGCGATCGTTCATGTCGGTTCATTTCCTTTAATGTTTTCTGTCTTTTATTTGCGCCTGATGTGTTTCGCTGCTGTGGATCGGGGCACATCACCTTGTCCTCCGACGCACCGATCACTGATGCGGCCGCCAAGCAGAGAGCACTCCGCTGTTTTTGCGGTCGGATCTGCCTCCTGAGCACGGCCACAGTAACAATCAGGTGTTGCCAAATTATTTAACACGCGATCGTTCATGTCGGTTCATTTCCTTTGATGTTTTCTGTCTTTTATTTGTGCCTGATGCGTTACGCTGTGGAGCGGGGCGCATCAACTTGTCATCCGGTGACGCATCGATCACTGATGCGGCCGGCAAGCAGCGAGCACTCCGCTGTTTTAGCGGTCGGTAGATCTTTTAGAACTGCAGTTTAAAGGTAACTCATGAGGTGAATATATATGAACCCAGGTAGCAATTTTTCTTTAGGATTGAGAGGAGATGCAGGAAGATAATAAACAGACAGGACAGAAAAATAGTCAAATAAAAACAAGTTAGTTTTTGTACCTGCTGTTGCAACAAACAGACACCATTGAAGGTAATCAGAAGTGAGGAACAGAAAATGAAATAATTATTTTAATGTTTAGAGCAGCAGGAACTCTGAGAGGCTGCAGGCGCATCAGTGAGTTTGCAGCCGCTGTGCAGGGGGAGGGGGGAGAGGGCTGAAGCAGAAACTACCGTTGTTAAAAGAAATGTGTTTAACTTTGAAAATGTGGGCGCAAATTTAATTGTCAAAAACTCCAGCGAACCATTAGTTCATTTTGCTCAAATAGAAATAGAGGCCTGCCTCTAATTCTGGCCCTCCTTCCAATAAAGGCCTGGAGCTTGATGAGCTTGAGTCAAATACAGGCCCGGGCCTGTATTAGAGGATTTACGGTATATATATATATATATATATATATATATATATATATATATATATATATATATATATATATATATATATATATATGTGTGTGTGTGTGTGTGTGTGTGTGTGTGTGTGTGTGTGTGTAAGAGAGGAATATATATATATATATATATATGAACTTGATTTTAATTGCCTGATTTAAATATGTAATAAAAATATATTTATGTTATCCTTAACAAGTCACTTTTATTCAATTTTGCAGTTTTTTATTTAAATTCCCAATAATCATGATTGACATTTTCTTAGCTCTGCTTTACAACAAATATGTATTTTCTCCACATTTTATAATTTATTGTGTAAAAAATGACAACTAAAAATAAATGCAATTTGCAAGTGAATTCATTGTTTTCCAGGGCAGTTGAAATTTTGTTGGTCAGGTTGAGTAAAGCCACACAGGTGGAGTGATTTTTACGAAAGCCATATTGGTAATCATTAATAACTGCATTGCTATTTAAATGATGAATTATTCTATTAAAAACTATTTTTTCCAGAATTTTTGAAAAACATGACAAAATAGAAATGGGTCTATAGTTAGAAAAATTAGAAGGATCTCCTGCTTTAAACACGGGGACAACTTTTGCAATTTTTAGTTCCTCTGGTACAAAACCTGTTTGAAGAGACAAAGAAAAGAGA